GGGACTTACATTTTTTTAAGTGTTTTTTTTTTATATGTGACTTTCATTTTTTTTTCTTTTACACTTAGCAATAAAGTTATCACATAGGGGGCTAAGAAGCTGTGTGAGAGCCAATATACAATGACAGGTCCTCTTTATGGAGACAGCAGGGGTCTCTAAGACCTCTAATGTCACCTTGGGACCCCCAAAGAAGCTGATGAAGCAGAGATCTGCTTCACAGATTCTTCTCTGGCTATAGCAGCCAGAAAAATGACAACTAAAGGCAGAAGTGATGTAATACACATCGCTTCCGCTTTAAGAGAGGCAGCCACTGTGCTGTAACCAGCAGCGGCGGTGGAGGGATGGGGGAGTGCAGCAGCAGAGAGGGGGGCACTGTGCAGTGCAATATTAGCGGTCGGCTGCTTGTAGAGCCGGCCAAACACCTGTATGTAAGAGCCGGTAACGGCTGTTTACATGCCCTGCAGGATTCTGGGGACACACGCGAGCAGCAAAAAAAAAGATGCACAGGCACGTCGACCCATCAGGAAGCATCCGCAGTCCGCCCATGTATTTACAGTGGGCGAACGGCAGGCATTTAAAGAGACTCTGTCACTTCCCCCCAGAAATCTCTTGAAATCTTTTTAGAGATTTGCTAAGTTACAGTAAAGTACACTTCTCCTAAAAAAAATATAGGGAGCTGCCATTGCTGACTTCCTTCTGAAAATGCCAATTGCCTGGTTCTTATGCTGACCCATTGGCTTCACTAATTTAGAGCAAGTATGCATATTAGGAAAATCTGATTCAAATCAGACATACTTATTGAAATGCGTGTTCTTGGTTAAACTCAAATTTAGGGCAAGAGGATCAGTATTTGCAGAATGAGAAGTAATGCCAGCTTACTTTAAGAGAAAATTTTCACCTTTTGAGTTTTATTCCTTGGAGAAGTAAGCATGGTTCTCCCAGACTCTTGTAGCTATTACATCCCGAGGCTTCCACAGGCCGGGTGTCACCCAGAGCGGCCGTTGGGTGTCACCAGCCGCAACGTCATCACTCACGCGTGTAATGATGTCACACGCACTTAACTGCCGGCAGCCATCTTGGTGGTGGATGCTGGTAGAGAGAGGAGGGGTCATTGATCTGGCGGGATAAGGTATGGATGGATATGTCATCAGCTTTAATTACATGCATTTATATAGTGCCGACAATTTACGCAGCGCTTTACAGTTTCACATCAGTCCCTGCCCTGCTCACAATCTAAGGTCCCTATCTCACATGCATATACATACAGGACTGATTTTAGCAGGAGCCAATTAACCTTCCAGCATGCCTTTGGAGTGGGGAGGAAACCTACGCATGCACAGGGAGAACATGCAAACTCCTTGCAGAAAATGACCTGAACCAGGGACCCTCATTGCTGCAAGACAGAAAGGCTAACCACTATGCTACTGTGCCACCCAATACATGATTACAAGTTCGGTCCTGGCCAGATTTTGGAGGTACTTTTAACATGTGCTGTGAACATAGGTTGAGAAATGCTGATCTATGGTATTACAGATATGGGTTGCATCATCAAAAATGCGAAGCCAAAGTTTAAGAAAAAGTGTCGTAGGTTTATAGAGAGGTAACCTACACACCAGTTTAAAAAAATATTAAGAGTATATATTTTTGTTTACATCTTCTATATTATAAGTAATTTGGTAATTATTGAGGACAAAAAGAGAATATACAGTATGTATGTAGGTTAATCTTTTATGTCAAGATGTAAAAAGTTGAACAAAGAGAATGTTAATAAAAAAAGGTGCATGTTATAAAGTGAAACCATGAATGTCAAGGTGATATGGACAGTAAAACTTTTTTTGCAGTAGAGTAATATGGGCATGAAGCCAACTACCTGCCAAAGATTCCCCTTTTACAAACAGGATATTAACCAGTTGACATCCGCGGTGTTATACCCCCTTCCCATCCAGGCCATTTTTCAGTATTCAGCGCTGCGGTACTTTAACTGACATTTATTCCGTCATGCAGCGCTGTACTGAAATGAATTTTATACCCTTTTTTGGGGACAGATAGAGCTTTCTTTTGGTGGTATTTATTCACCACTGGGGGTTTTATTTTTTTACTATATTAAGGAAAAATTACCGAATTTAAAAAAAAAAAAACAGTTTCCCCTATATTAAATGATAAAACATTTATTATTACCCAATTTTTTGGTAAAATATAAAAGATGGGGTCACGTCGGGTAAAAAGACACTAAACATGTCAAGCCTTAAAATTGCGTGCGCGCGCGAAACCTCAAAAAACGATAATACCCAAAATTGGCCCTAGGCGACGCTTTAAAAGCTGTTACCGCTCATCAGTTTAGTGTTATCAGTGATTGATGGCCCTAAAATGATTGCTCTCACTGCGACGTTCGCGGCGATATGTAACATGTGTAGCGCAATTGTAATTTTTGCGCGCTGGGGCACCGGACGCGTATTTACGTTTATAGGCGCGTAAACGTGGGGGTGGGGGAGTTAAACATTTTGGGGGGGTTTTTTCCCCTTTTTTTATATGTGGCTTTTATTTTATTTTATTTTTTTATGTGTTACTTTTCTTTTTTTTTATTTATATTTTTTTTTTTGCACTTATTGTTATTGCTATTATATAGGGGGATAACAACCCCCTATATAATAGCAAAGGCACACTGACAGGTCCTCTTTATGGAGATATTAGGGGTCTCTAGGACCCCTAATATCACCTATGGACCCCAAAAGAAGCTGATAAAGCAGAGATCTGCTTTATCAGCTTCTTCTCTCTCCAGATGACTGACAGGTGAATGCGGAAGTGATGTAACACACATCACTTCTGCATTCACAGCCCGGACGGGGATCAGCAAGGAGCTGATCTCCCGTCCTCCTCCTCCTGACGCCCTCGGAGCCGGTCCCGGGATCCAAGATGGGGCAGCGGATCCCGGGAATCAAGGTGAGGGGTCAGGGGGAAAAAAATTTTGCGATTTGGGTGCCGCGAACGAGCACATATAGGCGATCGGCGGGCTATGGACCCGCCCATCGCCTATATGTGAAACACCCGGTAACGGGTGTGTGCATTTAGCGGGTCTTTTCTGCCCGTGCGTGCCCGCTAGGGGGCGCGCGCGAGCAGAAAAAAATTGCAGATGCTGCAGTGCCGTCCGTCCGTTTTTTTACTACGGGCGGACGGCAAGAGGTTAAATAACCCTGGTGTGGATAGACAGAAATTGGATCATAGGAAATAAAAACCAGTCAAAAACAAGATACAATGTTACAATTCAAGAGACCGCTGGAGGGAATGAACATATAAATGTAACCATTGCTATCCCTGTAGTATCATTGTTTACATTCACATGCTTATTCCCTCCAGCAGGAATCTCATTACTAACATGTATTTATTTCCTATGATTTCAGCTCCATCTACTGGCCATAATGTTCTTTTTGAATAAACAAACCATGCTATCTACTTCCAGAACTTTGGATGCCTGAAGGTATTAACATTACCAATAGGAGCAAAACAAAAGCATTCAATAAAAACTCTATAACGTAGCAAGGAGTTATAATGACAGGAAGACCACTTTGGAGTATGCACTTTAACAAACAAAGCAGTGTTGGCAGCTTGCATAATTCTATCCTTGCATATGCCCTTTAAAGGAGAACTATGAGGTGAGTGATTTCCACTCTTCCTTATAGTTAGAGCCGACCTGTGACAAAGAAGCTGTCACAGGTCGGCTCTATTGATTGGGAAGTGAGCAGAAACATGCAGCCGATCCGCTCACTTGCCGATCATCTCCCTGCAGTGAGCGGTGACTGTCAGTCACCACTCCCCGCAGGGATCCCTCCCTCCCCTCTCCGATCCTCCAGCGCTGAGTTGAGAAAGGAACGGGGGAGGGGGCGGGCACAGCTGGTTCTGCTTCTAGATTGGCAGAGCCAGCTGTCACTCACGCAGCTGGGTGCACCTCAACAGTATTGTCGGGATTTGTCCCGTCTGCGGCTCTCTCACTATATCACGAGCAACAGCGCTTTGGGTCGCGGGAGGAGGTTAGTATATGTCCTCCCGTGACCCTAAAGAGAACTACGCGAAAAAACACTTACTCCATAGTTCTCTTTTAAGCAAAGATGAGAAGAACTGTTATAACTTGTAACCCGTGACAGCAACCTCCAACAGTACTGTTCAACATTTTCAGCTGAAAATTCAATACATTATTCTACACCTCCAA